CTTTTGCATCTTGCCCCCGTCCGAAGGTGGTGGGTTAACCCACCATCTTCTATCCCCCACAAGCGAAGCTTATGGGGGGACGGGTGCCGGATGCAAAACTCCTATTTTTTTATGGGCCGTAGGTCCTTAAAAAAAAATAGGGGTGAGTAAAGAAAAAGGGTTTGAGACTTATTTTACAATCAAAGTATTCGTATGCAACAGTATCCACTTTCTATGGTACTGGTCATACGGTAAAATATTAAAGACCTATTTTATGGCGCATCATTGAAGGCATAATGTCTTTCAGTAAAGATTGTAATACTGGCAGTGACTTAGATGAAATTCGTATTCTAAAACCCCCATTATTTTTGTTAATGGTACACTCTAAACCGAATTTATCAGTTAATACTGAAACTAAAAGCTGAACCTCTGCCAAAGTAAAACTGTTTGTGGAAAGATAAACAACACGGTCTCTTTCGCTATGACACCCATCATCACAAATCCAGTGGCACAATCCCAACGGGGTTAAAAGTTCTCCGATATTTGAAGGAATCACCTTTTTACCATTAGGGTAAAATAGGTTATATAACTCAGCAAAACAAGGTAAAGCGTAAGTTTTAAAACCTATTGCTTTATAAATTTTACCAGTTCTTTTGTGGGGTTTTGAGTTTTCTATTTTAGGCCCTGCTGAACAAAATTTTGCAAATTGCTCGTATAGTAATTGCAAATAAGAATCATGGACAATTCCTTGTTTAAAACTTAAAGTTATATTTCCTGTTTGGGATCTATCTTTAGCGTATAGATCGCCTAAGTAAAGACCGACTAAAGTGTCTGTTTCTTTTTGAGTTAAAAAGAATTCTAATCGTTGTTTTTTAGTTAAATAGTTTTTTTTCATTTTTAAAAAAGGATAAGGATAAGATACGGTAACACACTCCTATTTTTTTTAAGGACCGTAGCTCTCCCATTAGCGAAGCTAATGGGGAGTAGGCCCATAAAAAAATAGAAGTTTTGCATCTGGCACCCGTCCCCCCATAAGCTTCGCTTGTGGGGGATAGAAGATGGTGGGTTAACCCACCACCTTCGGACGGGGGCAAGATGCAAAAGTATTGAGATGTAACACTCAAACAAAACACCAATTTTTATCATGGAAAAATTAGGTGCGCCGAATCGTAGATTCCGGCGGAGTGCCACATTAAAAGTTTGTGCGGCAAAGAGTTAGAAGTCTCTAAAGACATTTTGAATAAAAAAACTTTACTACTTTTACTCCTTCATTTTAATAAAAAATATAGCGTTTTGTTTGACTAACACAGTAAACAAAAAAATAAGCGCCAGCCGCAAAGGTTAAGAATTGTCAACAACATTTCTATACCCAGGGTTAATAGCAATTTATTTGAAGTTGCCGTTTTAGATCTTGTAAAAAAGATCAAAAACTGACTTCGGAATCTATAGCCTCTAAAATCGTAGATTTTATGTGGCTATTGATTCTTCTTTTAAGTCATATTTTTGGTTTTATGACCTCTTCTTTTACCATACTCTTATTTTCTATGAATCCGGAAATCCTATGTGGACTTAAAGCAGTCAATAAAGATTTGTAGAAATGTGTCTATTTCACTTAGAAACTTCTTCGAGGATTAAGACTACCAACTATAGCTTCAATTCAATAAAAATCAATATCGCGCCTTCGGCGCGCTATCAAGTTGAGCCAAGAGTTTATCTTTTGGGGTTTTGATTAACCAGTCGTTTTCAGAAGTTGACAATGAAAACGAGCCTACGACCAATAAAAGTTCTATCAACTTTGATCAGCCTTGGCCGAGATAAATTTTCCCCCGCGCCGTTACCATGCATGATCTTTGATCATGGTGCACAGAAAGGCGCGGTCTTTGGGAAAAACACCAAAGGGATACCACTATCCTAGGAACAGCGGAACTCCTGCCCTCACAGGAACTTAAGTTCCCCTAATTTTTTGCATCTTGCCAGATGCAAAACTCCTATTTTTTTATGGGCCGTAGGTCCTAAAAAAAAATAGGGGTGGGTAAGGACCAGTTATAGTCCGCGTCCTAGTTTCTGCTGCATTGGGAGCTATATAGCTCACAATGGGATTGAACTTGGTGCCCAGTTCAATTTGTTCACGACCCCGTACACTCTTGAAGAGGGTCGCAGATGCAAAAGTTAGGGTATGTGTCAGCTTTGATGATCAGAAGTGGAAAACAGACGGTCATGATAACATGACTTTTCGGTTGCGGGGTTCATCAAAGATGACCCCGTGGCCATAGGATAAGAGGCCGCGGATGCAACCGTTACTGCCCATATGATTTTAGGCGTTTTGCCGCGCAGCTGCCATGCATGATCTTTGATCATGATTAACAACAAAACCTGCGAGGGGCAGAGGATTGTCCACATAGTCCGCGCCCCAACGGGGGCAGAGGAATGTTTACATAGTCCGCGCCCCAACGGGGGTAGGCGCGGTTACACCAACACGACGGTGGCAATTGACGCCTGTGTCGGCCTTAGAGCCCGCCGTAGGCGGGTAGAATAATTCGAACACCTGTTTACAGGTGTTCGAATTTTTACTGATGTATTTATTTTGGCAGGCGGGACGTGTTTAAATTATTACTATATTTTATAGCCCTATTTTGTGGAGCATCATGGATGGCATAATGTCCTTCAATAAGGACAGCTGCATTAAGACTGCCATTGCCATTTTTAAATGGCAAATGGCATGTCTTAAAGCAGCTGCAGCAACTCTCTAGGGCCGAATAAAGCGTAAGCTTTATTCGATCGCTCCCATCCCCCCATAAGCTTCGCTTGTGGGGGATAGAAGATGGTGGGTTACACCCACCACCTTCGGATGGGGGCTCAGAGAGAGTTACTGTTACAACCAGTAAGCTAAGCCTAATCTTTCTTTTATAAAATAAAGCACTTGAATGTCTTTAACGTGTAATTGAATCCTAAAATTAATTACACTTGGTTTATCTTTTCTTAGAGAAACGGAGAAGTTGGACTCAGCGTCACAAAAACCTACAACCACTCATAAAATTCTTTGTCACTCATTTGGTTTTTGATATTTTTTTCACCAGTACTCCCATGCCCAGTAGTCCGCCTAAAGGGGCATTCAAGGAATGCCCGCTTAGGTGGAACTGGGCATGGGGAGAAAAGACGAATAGCCTCCTCCAGCTTCGCCGGGGAGGGCGTATTTTTATTATTAACCAAAATACCCATTAAACTAGCATTAATCAAATCTAATTCTAATAAAGATTCCACTTAATTCAAGTGATGTAATATCAATTGGTTGAGCAGTATCTCTCGAGTTGATATTATAATTAATGTTTGACATTTTCATATGAGCCGGTAGTTTTTTTTAATTTGAATCTATTCCGGAGGTTGTGGGTAGGCTGGTGCCGGCTGCGGCTCCTGCAGGCAAATCCAAAGGCGTTAAGAGGAATTGAACCTCTGTTAAAAGTATTAACAGTACTCCGCATGACCACTATGCTATAACACCACTTCGAGAATTTGAATAAGAAAATCAAATTCCATTTTTGTTTGTTTTTTTTACCCCCTTTGCGGGCATCTTTGATGGCATGCTGATTTGCCCTTTCCCCCCACCTCAAGCGACAATTGACCCTAATGTCGTTCCTATCCCACCTTCTCTCAACAGAGCGGAGGAACGAAGTATACACCGCGCTCCCTCACTTGGGGAGCAGGGCTGTAAAAGTTGCACCCGCGGCCTCCGAACGTGCTAAAGAAAAAAGTCATGAAATGACTTTTTTATACTATGGCCACAAGGTCATCTTCGATGAACCCTGCGACCTTAGGGTCATGTTATCAGGACCACAGGTCGCGGGCGATAACTGGTCCCTATACCCTTAGGGGCAGCTGTGAGCTTTGATCACAGCGGCCTAAATTCCGTGATAGTCTTGAATATGTATTTATCTCTTTTAATTCAAACGGACTAGCATAATATGGCATCCTTAACACTGCCCCATTTCTATGTTAATTTACCCTGACACAGGCACCATAGTTCCTGCACACGGAGGGTGGCCGTAGTGTGCAGGGCGCATTGTGAGCTATCCTGGAGTAAGATAATTACTCCCGACCCCGTACACTCTTCCCTGAAAGGGAAGAGCGGGAACGAATTCTTTCTGTGTCAGCTTTGATGATCAGAAGTGGGAAACAGACGTCGGCGGGAGGTTTGAGCAAAGATTAAAGCTGATCCCGTGCAGGATCTTTGATCATGACAGCATGTGTACAATTGCTAGCAATTGTACACAGGCTGGATGGAGTGACGCTGTCGTGTCGGGTTTACCACGCTTTCCGCTACCGACACGGGCGGGACCATGTTCGAGGCTTTCTTTGATAGAGCCGCATAAATCGGGCCATGCGCCCGCCTTTTTATGTACATCATGATCATAGATAAAGCATGGCAACCTCATTCCTATCCCGCTTTTCCCACAAAGCGGAGGAACAAGGTATACACCGCGCTCCCATCACTTGGGGCGCGGCCTTACGGACCAGTCAGCAGGCTTACTGTGCTTGAGGACCCACGGCCCATCCTAATTTAGGCGTTTTGCTTCATAGATGCAAAAAGCTACTCCGCGCCCCCAACGCTAGATTGAACTTGGTTGGTCTGACCAGACCAACCCCGTTCAATTTTGCTTACGAGGAGGGTGCAGGCTACGTCTTCCATGCAGCATGTGTACAATTGCTAGCAATTGTACACAGGCTGGATTAAGCTCCATTATGAAGCCCATAGGAAATTAGGCCCCATAACAGATGAGGCTAATAGAAGATATACTTTTACAGGGACCCCGTAATTTGTAATCCGAACGAATGGTAAAATGTTACTAACTGTTATTTTTTTCTTGCCAGTTAGTGTACGGCTTAAGCCGTACTCTAACGGACCCACCAATTTTTCTATGGACCGAAGGCCCATCCACCCGTCAGAAGATGGTGGATGCGGGGAAATGATAAATATCATTTCCCCGCATCCACCACCTTCGAACGGGGGGCGACAAATTAGGTGCGCCGAATCGTAGATTCCGGCGAATAACACCCCTATTTTTTTTAAGGACCTACGGCCCATAAAAAAATAGGAGTTTTGCATCGAAGATGCAAAAGTTTTGCATCTGGCACCCGTCCCCCCATAAGCTTCGCTTGTGGGGGATAGAAGATGGTGGGTTAACCCACCACCTT